CTGGGGGATTCTGGGAGTTGAAGTCCACACATCTTCAAGCGGCCAAGGTTGAGAAACACTGCCTAGGGGTTCACCTAACCTAGTTAACTATGTTGTGAAAACAAGGCCAATAGCTGCAAAATTATTTTCTCCTCTGAAATGGGGTCAGCATAAAAGACCACCCCTTGCGATTCTGTTTCAGAGCAGAATAAATACGAACGGTGTTCCTCCTACCTGCTTAGAAGACTGCTGTTTTTGTGGAAAGGAGGTGTCAGACCTAGAAAGAAAATGCAGAAAGCAGACAGGTTAGAAGCCCCCACGGCCATGTTTCTGTTCATGCCATGCTTTCCCAATGATCAGGACTTGTTTGTCTCCCCCAACGCCCTTATATCAAATTCTATATATTGGCTCAAAAGATCAATCAAGTTAACCACAACAAAAAAATGTCGAATATTTCAGTTACTGCTTTATGTCCTTGTTGACGAACTAGAAATCAATCTTTCCACAAAATTATGGCAGCGCAGGGAAGAATAAGGAATAGATTTCTTATTTTCTTATTCTGTGTCTCGTATTGCCTTGATGTTGTACGAGAGAGATAAGCTAAATTGCCTCTTCTTGAATGCTGGACACTCTGGGGACATTTGCCAACTTTCCAGGTATCTTCACCTTCATGAGGGCTGGAAACATGCTTTCTAAATGGAGATGGGCTAGGATTCCAGTTCTGCATCTCTAACCAGGTATGGAACTGCATAAGAGGATCTGCAATTGCTATTTTGCCCAAGTTAAGGGGGAACAATCCTGGGACTGGATGCAGCAGTGTGGGCAGGGTGTGGTCGAAGATGGTGGCCGTGATGGTTTCATCGAAGCCCTGACCACTTTTCATGTGCATCTTCTTTGATCACACCCTGTGGACCGCCTCCTGCTGTTAAAGAACACACATAACCTGGTTATAGAATTAATGCATGTTCTGGGTTCGCACAATACACAGAACCATATCTAACCAGGTAGGTGGGTTTGCCCACTCCGTCAAGCCAAGGTCAGCTCAGCTCGGTTAAGATACACAAATAATCCAGCTTAGCAGGTGCGCCTCTGCTGACTTTTGTACTGATCTGGTTAAGCAAGTTGGGTGAACTCAACCTATGGGTGTCTACAAAGAGGACACCCCTTCTGGGTTTAGTGGGCTTTTCCACAGATACACTGATGCAGGAATATGGCTTAAAATAGACTTAGCATTGCCTGGAACCTTGCAATTATCTGGCAGATGAACTATCTAAATTAGCAAATGATATTAGCAAATGACTTAAGATGTGTGGACTTCAACTCCCAGAATT